CTTCGGGGAACCGACTGATCCAGGATCACGCGAAATCGTCAACAAATCTAATCCAGCTAACTTACTTAGCGAGGTACGAAGAACGGGCCCCCGATGCCTTCAGTGAGAATCTACAGTGTAAACACTCATGAAAATAAAGGAACAACATCCATACTTTTGACTGGTTGTATATTTCTGTGTAAAGGCTCAGAAATGATGCAGGAGTCTAGTTTCATATTAAACATATCAGATGTAAGAAATATGAAGATTTGAAAGGACGTCAGACAGGCTCAACAAATGCTTATAACTACTTTTTTCCCCTGTGTTAAAGCGCGTGGGCCACGGTGATGAGAACCATGCTAACTCAGAGCGCTCGCCTCTGTTCGTCCAGTTTATCGACTGCGTCTGGCAGATGACTCGACAGGTCGGTCCTGGACTCCGGCTTCAACAGCACATCGTGTTCGTTTCTTGATTCCAGGAGTTGGCATGTATGTCTTTGTGTGTACGTATTTACAACATTTCTCTGACTCGTTCTGAACGCAGTTCCCAGCAGCCTTTGAGTTCAATGAGCTCTTCCTGATCACCGTGCTGGACCATCTGTACAGCTGTCTGTTTGGTACATTCCTCTACAGCAGTGAACAGGAGCGGGCCAACCAGGTATGTTCGTGTCCTGATGCAACAGGGTCACAGAAGCTGTTTCAGCTCAAAGTCTAACTTTGTTTTGTGCAGGAGGTTCCAGCCAAGACTGTGTCTCTCTGGTCGTACATCAACAGGTACGTTAAGGACCTCACTGGTTATGTTAAGCGTGAGTGGACAAGATTACTGAAAGGTTTTGACTGGTTGATGCTGTTACCTGACAGCCAGCCCGAGGACTTCACCAACCCCTTCTACGTGGACTATGAGAACCACGTTCTCTACCCGATGGTTTCGCCCAGACACCTGGAGCTTTGGACCAGTTACTATGCCCGCTGGAACCCACGCATGAGGCCACAGGTACGCTGGTGGTAGCTGGTGAAGGAGTCTGGTTAGGGCTGAGATGTTCACCACAGATAAATGTTAAAAACAACAGGTAACAGAAACAAGATCTACAAGAAAGCTCTCGTGATGGATTTAGTCATCCATCCACCCGCTTCTGCTTCTCCTTGTCAGGGTCGCGGGCTGATCAATTATTGATTCATGTACGAACAGGAACCGAGCAACAGAGACCGTATGGTTACATTGTGACCTTGGTTCTCTGAGTAAGAATCTCTGGAGAGTGGAGTCTCGAGATGATAGAGAACTAATGTCTAATCATCTATATTTCACTGTTTTACTCTTTGGTGCAGTTGTGGATGTTATTTTTGTGGCTCAGCTGCAGGGGAGGGTGGAGCAGTGGGTTCAGGGGAAGCTGAGCCACACAGCTGCTCTCAGTCACCTGGTCACACAGGACACGGGACCTGATGAGAGAAGGGAAGATAAAATTTTGATCAAATAATCCCAGATGAAGGAGCTTATTTTTTATAATACAGAGAAGAAAACATCTTCTTTTCTATTCCGTTCTGGCTGCTTATCTCCTGGTGGTGTTGGAGTTCACTCACAAACAGCAGACACTCAGACAGAGCTCACAGTAAGAGTCTCAGCTGTGCCGAGCTGAGTCTACTGAGGACTGCTGGAGAAAGACTGTAGCTCCTCACGCTGTGATCGTGTTTCAGGTACCAGTGCACCAGACTCTGAAGGATCTGCTGATCCTGAGAGCAGAGCTCCAGAGGAGGGTGGAGGAGCTGCAAAGAGAGGCTTCATCCCACTCCCTGTCGTCCTCCTCGGACCACTCCCCGACACACACCGCAGGAACCCCGCTGCACACGGCTGTCTGACAGGGACGGCCACACATGACTGCTTTTATGTGTTTTAACAAAGTTACACCAAAATACTAATTGACTGATATTTTTATCAACATTTCCATTTGAGAAAAATAAAATAACTCCTCGAGATATTTGTAAAATTAAAAAGCATTTAGAAAATGTTTTAAACTAGACCTAACTGAAGGGTCCTGTTAACTATATTTATATTGTTTTTATTGCACTTCACAAGAGCATGGATTTTTTTCTACTGTTCAACCAAAGCATGTTAGAAAACATGTTAATATAAAGTGATTTGGGTTCATTTTCTTGTTGCACTCTGTGGATGTTGCACCAGTTCAACCTTAAAAC